GCCAAACCCTTGCCCTCAGGCCCCCCACAGCTGTGATGGCACTGGGGACATAAACGCAGGGCCTGATGTGACCTGTGATGCCAGGCCCTTGTCCAGACATGGAGACAGGAAGAGTAGGGGTGGGGGAACAGGGGAGCAGCCTGGGGCTCTGGGGGGGTCATAGGGAAATGTGGGATGGGACCCAAGGGAAGGCCAGAGGCCTGGGGCTCTCCTGTGGGCCTGTTGGACTTGAGCACAAATGGAGGAAAAATTGTCAAGTTTCCAAGCAGTGACCACAGATTGTTCAACACAGTTCCTTCCAATGTGGGCCTTTACAGCCTGGGATCCCTGAGAAGCAGGAAATGGGGCTAGAGGCACGAAGTCCGGAGGGGAGGGGACAGGCAGGAAGCCGCTGCCCAAGGCAGGGGAGCCAGTGAATAGAGAAAAGCATGGGCTCTGGGATCCTCCATTCGGGCTGGGGAGACCAGAAATGACCAGAGTAGCTAATCTCCAGCCCAGCAGCCACTCAGCACTGGGCCTAGGGGCCAGCTGAACATTGAGTGAGGTTCAGACCAGGCTGTGGGCAGGACCACCTTTGCTGTCACTGAAATGGTCACGGATGGGGTTCAGCTGAGGGAAGAGAGCCAGGGACCTAGGAATTGGCCAGTGACCAGTACAGCCGTGCGGCCCTGGTCCTCACCAAGACTACCCTCTGGACATCAGTCACAGCCACACACTCCTGGGACACTGCACAGACCGGGGGCCACGGGGGCCACGCTGTCCCCTCGCTGTGTGCCCTGCACAGCAACATGCTCCCGGGACACCCCAGCCTTATCTGTAGGAAGGTGCTGCTCAGGGCACTTGTCTTCTCTGGTACCCATGGACTCCACCGGATCCCAGCCCTGGGGATGGAGGCAGCTGCACAGACCCACACCAGGTCTGTGGTGATGACTGCACATGTGTGATAACTAAAGTGACTGTAAGAACTTACAGTTTAAACAAATGAGAGCACATTGTGTGTCCAGCACTGTCAGAAAGAAAGAACAAACAAGTTGATGGCCGTGCAACGCTGAGCTCGGCGTCTGCTGCGTGTGTGTCCACAGACATGTAGGACCCACCTGCCATGCACTTCATGCCACTCCCTCATGGCAGCCAGTGAGCTACCTGGGCCTGGATGGACCTTGAGCAAATGTGGTGCCCACATAAGATGGCAAACTGCTGAGCCCTGCAGGAGGAAGCCCTGCTGTTTGCTGTTCATGGGTGGTGCTGGCGTGGGCTGCTAGGGCACAGCACCAACAGAGCTGGGAGTCCAGGGCAGGAGCAGCGGGCGCCAGAGGAATGTGGACAGAGAACTCCTTGTTGGGCCCCAAGTGCTCTCAGGGTTAGGGAGCTATGAGTGGATGGACAGCAGTCAGCATTGCTGTGCAGACATGCATCTCGCTGTCACACGGTACACCTTAATGAAACCTATTTTCAACTTGAAACTGCTAGGGAAGCTACAGCTTGGTGCACTGCTTGAGGACGGGGCGCAGCCACACCTGATACCACAGCCAGGGCCATCCACCTCATGCGGGAAAGTTGCCATGCAGCCTCAGGCGCCCGAGCATCTCAGCAGCAGCAGGGGCAGGACGAGCTCCTGCATGGGGCAGCCCACAGGAGACCCCCAAGGCTACCTCAGGACAGGTGTGCCTCTGTGGTGAGGGTGGGCTCAGGTGGGGACAGTTGAGGGGACAGCAAAGGCAGAGGAGCTGGTGAGGGGTCAGAGGGCAGAACCTGAAGCTCAGGAACCCCTCAGCAGAGTGACCCTCAGGTCAGGAGCCAGAGGACGGGACCCCCTGGAGTGGGTCTCTGACTGTTCCAGGGACAGGCCACCCATAGCTGGGTCCCCAATGCTTCATTTGTTCTCTGCGACAGGGACCGTGCACCCACTGTACCCCACCCTTCATGTGACCCAGAGAGAAAGGTTTGTGTGCGTGTGAAGTGGTGGCAGAGTGGCCACATCGCAGTGCCAGCTCCAGCTCTGGTGCCTGAAGCCGTGGAGCTGAGAGCAGCCCAGTGAGGAAGGGGCCTGGGTCCAGTGGGAAGGAGCTGGCAGATGTGGTCTGACAGGAGGGGCTGTATCCCCTGGGGCCAACTTTCGCCAGATCACACTTCAAGTAACTTTCCTGAGAAGGTGGTAGCCTTGTGCCTTGCTCTGGTTACACACCCGAGGTGGTTAGCAGGGGTTCCCCCTGGGCTCTAGGGTCGGGGGGGGGCTTGGGCAGACACCTGCAGAGCCCATAAGAGTAATAAAATTAAAAAAAAAAAAAACAATGCTTGGTGTCATGACTGATCCTGGAATTGTGGGTGAGGTGGCTCCACCACCCAGGGCTTAGCACACAAAACTCAACAAAGGTAACCCGGTGGTGGCCGGGCGAGGGTCTTGAGAGGTGCTGCTTAGGGGCCTCAAGGCAGATCTGCCCAGGCAAGCCTGTGCTTCTCATTTAACTTCCCACAGGTCAGTGAAGACCCAGGGGCCTGACAGGCTGACCTGGGAGAAGCCCACCACAGGCAGGCATGCAGGCAGGTGCTGCGGGTCCCAGGGCGGAGTCTCCCCTCCGAGGTGGGAGGGTGAGGGAAGACTGGCCTGGGGGAGTGTGGGGAGGCAGGAGTGGACCGGCCGGCCACATTCCTGCTGCTTGCAAGCCAGCTGTTGTGTGGGCTGTGGTTGCTGTGGTCCTGCTGATGCTCCTGCAGGCCAGGAGGCAGCAGCCCTGCGGCTGCTGGAGAAGCCCAGGCCCGGGTCAGGGGCATGCCATGGAGGCGGGGGAGGTGGAGCTGTTTGCCTTGGGTGATGTGAGGCTGGAGCTGCCCTGTCCAGTGGGACAGCCAAGGTCACATGGGGCTGCTTAATTTAGGTTGAGATTCAGAGGAAGAGACGCCCAGGAACACCTCCTACCTCCCACAAACAGAAGAGCCACTGGGGTGGGTGGCCACAGCTCTGGCCCCTGCCCCAGCCCAGGCTCACTGCCAGGGCATTCCCTTGAGTGCACAGGCAGCTGTTCTGGGAGGCCAAAGGACGTTCCTTGTGGTCTGCCGCACCTGGAGCCCCGGGCGGGGTGGCCTTGGAGTAGCTGTGGATTCCAGGGTTGGCCTATATCAGGGGCCAGCCTGGAGTACTGTCCTTGTGGCCCTGGCCTATGCCCTGACTCCCTGGCCAGTTCAGGAAGGGGTGAGGAAGCAGGAGGGCAAGGGCCCCGGCTCCTGAGGAGGCGCTTGCACACCAAAAGGCGGGAGGAAGGAATGTTTTAATAACAAAACCAGGAATGGGGGGGGCTAGGTGGTCCCTGTCCCCACCTAGGGGAGGGGAGGTCAGAGAGCTGCCTCACTGGAGGGCCCTGGCTAGACAGGAACCTCCCCAGCCCCTGCCCACCCTGGAGCCCTGGGAGCTACAGGCTCAGGGTGCAGACAGAGGTACTAGTCCCCTACGAGGGGCAGGCTGCCATTCTAGGTTTTGCCTCCCACCTGCCCTGCCCCAGGTTTCAGTGGGACAGGGGCCTCTGCCTAAGCTTCTGCTGCCCTGCCTCCCATCCCTACCTGCTTCGTGTTCAGGGCCTGCACATGGGCTGCCCTTGTTGCTTTGCTGGGGAAGCGCTGGGTGGGGCAGCCTCTCCAGGGCTCTGCTGGGCTGCCTGCCTTCCTCAACTAGGGGTCCTTCTCTCTTGGGCCAAACATCAGCCCCACAACCAGCCACCCTGCCTGTGCAGGTGGTGGCATGGGAGTACAAGGAGGGGGCATTCCTGGGGCCTAGAGCTGGAGCCCTGCAAAAGCTGCCTTCCCGCAGCATGCAGCATGCAGAAGGGAAGAGGGGAGTGGTGAGGGGAGAGGGGATGGGAGAGGGGAGACAGGAGGGGAGAGTGAATGGGGTCCTGGACCCAGGACAGCAGTGAAGGGGCGGCCTCCTGGACCACGGGATGGGAGGAGCCAACGCGGTTGGCGCTGAGAGCCCGGCAAGGGCGGGGAGCGTGCCACTCACTGGACCCAACCGGCTCTTCAGCCCTCCAGCAGCACGGCCTTGGGGGCAGCACGGCCATGGGGGCAGCACGGCTGTCGGGGGCAGCACGGCCATGGGGCCATCGTGGCCGTTGGGGCAGCACGGCCTTGAGGGCAGCACGGCCATGGGGGCAGCACGGCCATGGGGGCAGCATGGCCATGGGGGCAGCACGGCCATGGGGCCATCGCGGCCGTCGGGGCAGCACGGCCTTGGGGGCAGCACGGACTTGGGGGCAGCTCGGCCATGGGGGCAGCACGGCCGTCGGGGGCAGCACTGCCATGGGGGCAGCACTGCCATGGGGGCAGCCCGGCCATGGGGACATCGCGGCCGTCGGGGCAGCACGGCCTTGGGGGCAGCACGGCCTTGGGGTCAGCACGGCCACGGGGGCAGCACGGCCATGGGGGCAGCACGGCCGTCGGAGGCAGCGCGGCCATGGGGGCAGCATGGACTTGGGGGCAGCACGGCCATGGGGGTAGCACGGACTTGGGGGCAGCACGACTGTCGGGGGCAGCACGGCCACGGGGGCAGCACGGCCATTGAGGCCATCGCGGCCGTCGGGGCCACCCCGCCCGGCAGGTGGCAGAGTGGGGCGGGGTCGGGGCGGCGGGCGTGGCCGGGGTCGGGCTGCGCGGCCGCGCCCACTTCCTCCGGAGCGCGCGCCGGGCGGAAGTGCGTCAGTTGTTATCTCTCCGGGCGCCGCCGCCACCGCTGTCTCGGTCCCCGCCTCGCCCCCGGGCCCCGCCGCCCCGACCCTGGAGCCCCGGCAGCCCCGGCAGCCCCGAGCCCCGGCAGCCCCGAGTCCCGGCAGCCCCGCCGCGCCATGGCGCACGCCCGCAGCCGAGCGCCGCTGAGCGCCGGTGCGCCCGGCCGCGGCTGAGCCCCGCGCGCCCGGCATGCCCGGTCCGGCCCGCCGCCCGCCGCCCCGGCCCCGGCCCCGCGGCCCCGCGTAGCCAGCGAGCGGGTCAAGGTCACCGCCCCGACGCGCGCCATGGAGGCCGCGGGCCGGCCCCGGCGCTCGCGCGCGCAGCGAGACCGCGAACGGCGCCGCGAGGCCGCCCGCGCGCACAGCCCGTCGTCGGGCGACGAGCCGGAGCCGGGCCGCGGCAAGGAGAACGCCGCCGCCCCCGCGCGCCCTCCGCGCCGCCGCCGCCGCGAGTCGAGCTCGCAGGAGGAGGAGGTCGTCGACGGCTTCGCCATCGCCAGCTTCAGCACGCTGGAGGCCCTGGAGGTGGGTGCGGGCCGCGGGGCGGCTGTGCGCACCTGTGGCTCCCGGGTCGGCGCGGGGGGCCAGCGGCCGGGCACAGAGGGCCTTGCTCGGGGCGCCTGTGCCTGCCTCCCGCCCGCTCCCTGGAAGCCAGAGTTAGCGAGGGAGAGCTCCTCCACCCGCTGGTTCGCTTTCTGGCTGGATCAGGCCAAAGGCGCCCCGTCCTGGGAGCTTTGCCCTGCCTTCAGGCCCTCCTGGGGCTGCTGGTTCTGATACACTTGGCTTAGGACTCACCGTCTCTCTCCGACCGGAACGCCAGGTCCCGGTGTTGCAGCCCTGTTTGTGGGTGGTCATCAGAGACCCCCGGCCCGTGTGGTTTGGGGTAGGGACAAAGCGTTGCTCCACGAGCCGGGGATCAGGAGGCCAGGGCTGGGGAGGGGTTGGCTGGTTGGGGCCCTCCAGGCAGGTGCAGCCAGGGAGCTCTGGGCGTCAGAAGCCAAATGGGGAAGCACAGGCGCCCTCAGGCCCACCTGCTCTGGCCTGTCTCAGTGGCCTGTCAGACTCGCAGCTCCTAAACAAGAGAAGGGCCTGTGTCTCTCTCCCAATTGTGTGTGCCTCCCCAGTGGCCTGGCATCTGTGCCCAGCCCCTAGGAGCCTGGGCACCAGATAGAGTGTGACTTCCTGACCTGCAAGTGTGGCAGACAAGACACAGAAGGCTCTGTGGAAGCTGGGAGAGATGGGCTGTGAGCTGGGCGCTCCTGCCTCACACTGCCTCTCACAGGTGTAGGTTCCTTCCCCGACAGGCATCCTAGGACCCTGAGGGCTTGGCAGCGTGGGAGTCTGGGCAGTGGATACAGGGCTGGTCAGAATGTTCCAGTGAGGAGCAGCAGGCCCCAGCACATAGCCTTCTGGCCACCCGCTTGGGGCTATGCTCCAAGCCTCCCTTGGCTGCCCTCCAAGATCCTTAACCCCCCCCCCCCAGCCTCCCCAGCACTCAGCTGCTGGACCCTGGGAGATTCTCTGTCAGGTAAAAGGTGACCTTGACCCTGGACACAGAGCCTGCAGGATTTTGGGATTCCTAGGTTAGTGCCGCTGGGCCCAACTGAGGAAGCCTGGTGGCTGTGGACAAAGGGCCAGCCTTGCTGGGCCATTGCTTCTTCTTTTTCCTACCATACGCCATGCCAGAGGGGAGGGCCTTGGTGACCAAGCCTCTGGCTGTGGCTGGGCCTTCAGTACTCTCAGCCCATCCAGTGGTGGGAATGGCAGGGTCTTTGCCCTCTGCTTGTGGGAGTGATCTCAACATCGCTCCCCGCCCCCCGGGGGGGTGGGAAACGCGTCTCTAGGGCACTTTCTGTGAATTCCAGGAGTCTGCACAGCCAGACTCCTTGAGACACTGGTCCAGGGAACGAGGCAGTAGACAGGCCTGGCCTGGGGGGGCATGCTGGGCTCCACAAGTGACCAGGTAGGTGGTCTGGCCAGCAGAGAGGGTCTGTGACCTGTACTTCATTCTCTGGCTTGGCAAGCACCGATTGAGCCCGTCTCTATACCAGGCCTTGTGCCAGGGCTGAGGATTCATCTCTGGGCATGGCAGTTGTTAGAAGGTGGTAAGGGGCCATCATCAGAGACTGGGAAACAGGAGGACAATGTGCAGGAGGGTGCTGGCTGGGCCAGGGGAGAGCTGTGGCAGGTGGCATTCAGGGGCAGTGGTCTCAGCCCTTCCCAAGAGGCAGGTGCACCTGTTGGCACTTAACAGGTGTGTGTTAAGGGCAAACAATTGGTGTAGCCCTCTCCATGCTTTAGGGACTTGGCAAACGGGGTCTTTGGCCCCATGGAGAATGTATTGGGCCCTCTCTCTGCCCATGTGGTTTAAGAAAGAAAACTTACTGATTCGGGCCTCAGTTGTTCTCTCTTTGGGTGCTTTTGTGCTTGACTGGCTGTGTAGAAAGTTGGGGTGTGGGGAGAGTGGCTTTGAATCGCCCAGTGGTGTACTGAGGGTCCTGGGATTGCTGGGGACTGCAGACAGTGCTGGGTCCATGCTGACTCATGACACCACACATGTGTGTACAGGGAGAGCCCAGACTGGTCTCACCACACCACACGTGTATGTGCAGGGAGAGCCGAGGTGCTGCTGCCCGGCTCTGGTCGTTGTGCAAGATGTTGGCTCAGGAATGTCCCAGTGGAGGCTGACTATTCATCCTGTCCTGTGGGTGTCTTGGTGGCCCTGCCTTGCTGGTTTCTTGGAGAGCTGTGTGAGCATGGCCCCTGGATTCTGAACAAATGACCAGGGTCAGAGCCATGGACACTGCTTGGTTCTTGGGCAGGAGGCCTGCCCTGTCCATCTGCCACAGTTGCCTCCTGAGGAGGATGAGGGGTGGCAGACATGTGCCAAGGCCTCTGCAATAGCCTTTTTGGCCCCCCACCTTTAAAAAAAAACAAAAAACCGGGATTATAGGTTGAAGTAATTCACTCCTCAGATAGCCGCAGAGGCCCTGGCTGGACCAGGAGCTTCCTGTGGCTTTCCCATGTGGGTGCAGGGCCCCAAGTACTTGGGTCGTCCTCTGCTGTTTTCCCAGGTCATAAGCAGGGAGCTAGATGGGCCTTTATGCTTAACAGCCACGGTTGTGGCCTTGCCACTGACAGAAGGAGCCAGAAATGGCAGGCGGGCCCTGGCCTGTGCCTGCCATTAGCTCACGTGAGCCTCCCAGTCACCTTTGCAGTGGGTGATTCCTAGACAAGGGTCTGAGGCCTAGCTGAGTCCACTGGTAGGTAGGGTGAGTCCTCTGGGGTGGGTTCTGGAAAATTGGGGAACAGCACCTTGGTGATGGGGAGTATACACAGGCCTTGAGGCAGCAGGAGACTGCTCCTCAGGAAAAGCCACAGCCTTTCTGGACCCTTGACCACAGGTTTTGTTTCTCGACTCAACGGCCTCTGCTATCCTTGGCCACAGGGGACCCATGCCTAATTCCTGGAGCAGTGATGCTGGGTGCATCTGGAGTGTTCTGGCCAGGGCTGCAAGGAGGCCACGTGAGCCACCTTTGGAGTTGTAGGTGATACTGGGTCTTCCGTGGGGCCTCCAGGCAGGAGGCAGACTGGGCATCTTGACCTCAGGTCCTGGTTTCCCACCAGGTGCAAAAGGACGCTGGTGGTGAGCACAGCTTCTCCTTCACTGCGGGGCTCCTACACCCTGCAATGGAGCCCTCCTTCAGAGCAAAAGCTAGGGGAATTTGGGGCCCAAGTGGACTGGCTGCATGGGAGGGCTCTGAAACTCCTGACATGGCACGTGGTGTACTGGTAGTGACTTAAGGGCCCTGGCCCAACCACCTGACCCCCCCGGCCCCTCTGGTTTCAGGGCCTGCAGCTGCCTCGTCTGCCGAGGTGTCCCTGGCACTTGTTCCCTTCCATGTTTTCCATTGCTTGCTGACCACCTGGCTTCTGGTCCAGTTGTGACAAGAGCTGTATGCTCACAGGCTCGGCTTGACGCTATGAAGCCCTGGAATGGCCACCATTTAGCAGAACCCTCTTCATCTCTGGCAAGTTCCACTGGTGCTCTCTCAGGCATGGGTGTTTGTGAGGGACTCCCAGGGAGGGTCAGCTCAGAAAGGGTGCTGAGTCATCTTGTCCCTGCAGAGCATTGGCTGAGTGTCGGGACCCTGCCACAGCTATAGCAGCCGCTCACCAAGCCAGAGGAGACATCTGGAGGGCCTTGGTTCTCCTGTGGGGGCAGGATCTATTTTCTAGAAAGTTCTGTCAGACACAGCTTCAAGCCCTGTACCTGGCTGAGTGTGGCAGTGCAGAGGGCAGATGGAAGCATTACCCTGTGTCTCTGTGGCCGCTCAGGTCAGCCAAGGGCTCAGTAGCATTCTGTTGTTTTAAAAGCAAACAAGTACTCAGACGGGTGTATGGGAAGTGTCAGTTGAAGCAGCCCATGTCCATGCTGTGGTCAGTCTGCCTCCTGTGGCCCGTGTCCGTGCTGTGGTTTCCACACCAAACACCCCTGGCAGCAGTGCCCTTGCTGTTTTGGCACTTGAGCAGGTGGAGTCCACGGCTGTTCAGGTGCCCTGACCAGATGGACAAGCTGGGACTTGGACCTCACTGCTCTCACAGCCAGGCAACAAGACTGTACTGTTGGACTGGGCAGGGGTCAGGACTCTTGGAAGGCGAGGACCCCCTCGGCCTGGAGCCCTTAAGCTGGGTAGGGTAACTGGACAGAGTGACAGGCTGTGACCTGTGGCAGGGTGACCAGGATGCTGTCATTGGCCTCTGTGGCCTCAACATCGGGCTGTGGGGACGCTGGCCAGTGTGCCACAGCCTGCCCACACCATGCTTGAAGGGTCTGGTCCTCCCACCTGACTCTCACTGTGCCGCTTTGGCCTGTCACCTGCAGTATTCCTACAGGGGCTCTCTGGGAGGACTGTTTGTGGGCTCTTTGCCCACTGACCGGCCCCTTCTTGTCTGTCTCCTTACTAAACACACAAGGGAGGGAGCCACGAAGGCACAGAGCCTCTTGGGTGTCACCTATAAGCTCAGACAGACTGGTGCAGGAGGGATGCAACTGGGGGCCACTGGGTGTCTGGCGGTGTCCATGAGGTCTGGCTGCCTGAAAGGTTAGTGGGGCAAGGGCCTCTGTCCTAACCCTACAGGTCCACTGCAGCACTAGACAGGATCCTCTGAGTGTGGGATGCCCCGTGGGGGCTTGTGCAAGTGCCACAGGGGGCACTTCTTGTGGGTCTCAGGGGAGGCTGAAGGAGTAACCCTAATCACCCCCTACTTGACGGACAGTCTCACTGGTCCCCGCTCAGGTGGGCATCACCTGCAGGTGGCTTCTGTCACGAGTCAAGTGTCTACTCAGTGTGGCCTGGTCCCATGGGGTCCCCAGCCATTTAACTGGGTTCCCCTCCTCTCCTTGCAGAAGGACATGGCACTGAAACCCCACGAGCGGAAGCAGAAGTGGAATCGTCGCCGTGTCAAGAAGCCGCGGGAGCTGGAGAATGGTCCATCTGCCGAGCCCAGTGAGAGTCAGCAGCCGCCACAGGGGAGCAGCCCTGAGCAATCCGTGGAGCCTGCCTGTGAGGGGGCAGCCAGAAAGGCCCCTCTGCAGCCCTCCAAGCAGGTGAGTGCTGCCCACCACCCCTTGGGTACTCTGGACAGCTGGCTGTGCACTGCCAACCCCAACGCCCTCACTAGCCTTGGTCTCCGGGTGTGGGCACACCTAAGCAGGGCAGGCAGGAGCCAGGGTGGTTTGTGGGGCGTGGAGCTACCTGGCTCAGGAGGGGCAGGGTCAGCTCTGTTCCAGAGAGGGCAACAGCGCTGCACCAGTAGGCCGGCCCCACTTTCCCACCGTGTCCATTAGGCTCCGCCGATTACAAGGTTCTCGGCGTCCAGTGTCTGAGGAGTGTGGGGCTGGACTCAAGCTGGATGCCCTCCTGCTGTACTCACAGTCCCGTCTGCCAAACCACCTGTGGGGCGGGGGCACAGCCACGTGGCCCATGGTGGGTGGTCCAGGTGCCAGCACCTTCCTTCATATATGGGGTCAGGGCCATAACCTGGAAAGGCCGTGAGAGTGTGGCTTCCCCTGACGTGGAGGTGACCTGCGCCTCCCAGGACCCACTGGTCTGTACCTGCTGTCCAGAAAGAGCTCTGTCTGTTGTGGGCTCTGCCCTCAGCTCCCTTGGGATTGGAGCTGCTGGAGCGGGGACAACATGTCTCGGGCCCGGGCTGGATTGGGGGGTCCAAAGGCACACCTGCCCAGGTGGACACATGCTCTTTCTTCCATGCAGGTGTGCTCCCCAGCAGGGGGGCCGCTCCCAGCCAACCCCTGGGACCAGAACGGCCCGGCCCAGCAGCAGCAGCAGCTCCAGCCCAGCCAGTCCAGCCAGCCCCAGGGGCCCCTCCCAGCCCCCTGTCAGCACTGCCAGCCCAGTCGGGCACTCCCGGACCCTGGGCAGCCCAGCCAGTCCCAGCGTTCACTCCCGGGTCAGCACAGCCGGCCCCAGCAATCACTTCTGGGCCCAAGACAGCCCTGCCAAGCCCGGCGGTCACTTCTAGGCCCTGGTCAGCACCAGCGGCCCCAGCGGCAGCAACACACCCCAGATCAACTCTGCCGGCCCCAGCGGTCACGCCCAGCCCAACCTTGCCAGACACATTGGTCATTCCCAGGCCCCAGGCAGCGCTATCAACGCCTGCTGACCCATTGTTACCGTTGCCGGCCCCCACGGTCCCTGCTGACCCCATGTCACCGTTGCCGGCCCCCACGGTCCCTGCTGACCCCATGTCACCGTTGCCGGCCCCCACGGTCCCTGCTGACCCCTTGTCATCACTGCCGGCCCCCACGGTCCCTGCTGACCCCATGTCACCGTTGCCGGCCTCCACAGTCCCTGCTGACCCCGTGTCTCCGTGGCCAACCATGCAGGACTTCTGGACGTTGTTGCCCACCCTGCTGGTCCCATTGCCAATGGTGCCAGCCCCCACAGTCACCCATCACCCTGCACCCTTGCCTCCAGCCACCGGGCTGCTTCTCAGGCCAATGCTGCTGCTCTCCGCAGGCACTCACAGCTTCACATGAGCATGGCCAGCGCCACAGGGCCCTCCTGGAACAGCCCAGCCATACCCAGAGGTCCCTGCTAGGCCTCAGGCAGCCCCAGCAGTCAGTTGAGACCTCTGAACAGCCTAGTCCACCCAAATCCTCACTAGCGGGCCCAGGACAGTCAGGCCCGCACACACGGTCACTCTCAGGCCCGAAACAGCCCTGTCAGCCCCTCCGGTCCCTCCTGGGCCCCACTCCACCCTGCCAGCCCCAGCCACTGCTTCCTGCCCCTGAACGCCCTTCTCTCCTGGGCCAGCCACGCCCATCCCACCGGCCTCTCCTCGGGCCCTCGGGCCAGCCACGGAGGTCCGTCTTGAATCTGGAGTCAACACGTCAGCTCCAGCCAGCACTCCTGGCCCCGGGCCGGCCCTGCCGGCCCCTGCGGGCACGATGGACTCGATCCTGTGCCCCACAGGCTGCCCGTCAGGCCCCATCCGTGAGTCCTGGAGCCTAACCCTTCCAGCTTCTCAGTGTTACCCAGATCCTTTAGGCCTGATGCAGGCTGTGCTGGCCTACGGCCCGGCTGCTTGCCGATGGACTGAGGCTCGGCAGGGCCAGGAGTGCTGTGCAGTGCTATGACCAGGCCAAGGCCACACCTGGAGAGATGACCCCGCACTGTCTGCCACGTGGGTTGTGGTGCCCCCGTGTGTCACTGTGACAGAAGCCCCAGGAAAGGCTCAGCACTGGCTGGGGCGCCCCGCGTCTTTCTGTGCCTCTGAGCCACCAACACTGACTGCATCTGCAACCCCGTGCCTGTGGTCAGGTGTGTGGTCAGGTGTGCTTTGGGCACAGGGGCCCACCTGGTATTTGGGGGAGGGTGCTGGCTGTGACCTTGGTGAATCTGGCACAGTGCGGGCTCTGCCCCTGTGGTGATGGGTAATGCACTCAGGCCATGTGGTATGACCTAGATGCTGCCGCTCACTTCTCAGGACTCTGCTTCCCCCGGGGGCAGCTGTGAGGGTCTCCAGACATGGGGAACCTCAGTGCAGGGATCCAGGCCTGGCTGGGAGAGCTGTGGTTCCACAAGGTCCTGCTGCTTGCACAGGCTGTCCCCCTCCCCTTGCCCTATACCCGGGTCTCTTGGAATCCAGGGCAGGGGGCAGGGGGTCTGGCCCAGGGCAGGGTTTGTTTTCAGTTTCCTAACATGCAGGCATTAGGGGCTATTAGCACCCTGCAGTAAGAAAGTATCCTTGGCCACTTGAGAAGTCCCTAGTCAGACACTGCTCAGTGTTCTGTGTGGACTCTGGGACATATGGCTACTTCCTGTGTGTCCAGGCCATCTGCTGGCCGCCAGCACCCCTCCCCTGACAGGCCCTGGTGGGAGGGCTGCCTTCCCTTGCAGCTGACATTCCTCACCCAGCCAGAACAGCTCTGGGTCCCCCTCCCCCAAACCCTTGGGCAAGCCCCTCTTTCTGGTGCTTCCCTAAGGCCTTTGTCTTGGAAATGTCGGGTATATTTTTCTGATTAAAGGAAATAAAAAGGGCCACACTCTTATTTTGATAGCAGTGTTGGCATTTGTAATTTAAACCGACAGGCGTGTCTTATGTGATTTGTTCCGGCAACTGGTGTTGTGATTGGACTTGATTCTTGAGAGTCACCGGCTTCTGGTTGTGCAGTGGGAAAGCCATGTCTGCCTGCCTGTTAGGGTGAGCAGCATGAAGCAGCTGGGAGGGCAGGATTCAGGCGCCTGTAGACCTCCCTTCACTGTGCTGGCCCAGGGAAGTGTCAGCCTGGAAGGAGGTCGGGTTCCCTGTTGGCTCCTGGTGTGCGTGCCTGCCTGCCCGCCTGTGTGAGGCCGTATCCCCTGCTGTGCATGTGCTGGGGAACCACATCCTGGCAGTAGAGCCCTATACCTGGGCCACGTCCTGTACCTGGCCACAGTCCCCACTCTGGCTTAGCAGCCTTGAGCAGGTGGCTTCTCTCTGAGCATGTGAGGTGGAGGTGTTGATGACAGTACGGGTTAGTGCTGTGAGCAGGTGCTGGCCAGGGGAATTATTACCTAATTGGGGCCTGCACCTTAGCTCAGCTGGTTAATCCTCCACCTCCAAGAGCCAGCATCCCATAGGAGCACCAGTTTGTGTCTCGGCTGCTCCACTTCCGTTCCAGTTCCCTGGTTATGGTCTGGGAAAGCAGCAGAGGATGGCCCAATACTTTGGGACCCTGCACCTGTGTGGGAGATGTGGAAGAAGCTTCTGGCTCCTGGCTTCAGATCAGTTCAGATCCAATTATTGTGGCCATTTGGGGAGTGAAGCAGCGAATGAAAGATCTTTGTATCTCCTCTATAAAAATGCCTTTCCAGTAACATCGATCTTTTAAAGGATCGATTTATCCATTCAGAAGGCAGTGAAGAGGGAGATGGTGACCATCTTCCATCTCCTGGTTCACTCCCCGGATGGCCACCACAGCCAGGGTGGGGCCAGACTGAAGCCAGGAGCGCAGAGCTCCATCTGGGTCTCGTGCACAGGTGTTGGGGACCGTGTACTTGAGCTGAGCTGTATCGGCAGGAACACTTCACACTAGACTGTGCATGTGGAGTGTGGGCGTCCCACAGCACTGCTCCACTACTGCGTATCAGTGTGCATTCAGTGCTTCCTCCTGCGTCCTGGACACAGCCCGACTGGTTGGGGGCCTAGACTGGAGGCTTTTTCCTTGGGGTCAGGCCTCTCCTACTTGTGGTTGGCGGCTGGACCATTGTCTTTTTTTTCAAGATTTTTTTTTTTTTTTTAATATTGGAAAGGCAGATCAGATTTACTGTGAGAAAGAGAGGGAAAGAGCTTTATTTGCTGGTTCACTCCCCAAATGTCCACAATAGCTGGACCTGAACCAATCCGAAGCCAGGAGCTTCTTCTGGGTCCCCCATGCAAATGCAGGGTCCTAAGGTGTTGGGCTGTCCTCCACTGCCACAAGCAGGGAGCTGAGGAAGTGAGCAGCCAGGCCACAAACCAGTGCCCATATGGTAATGCTGGTGCTTGAAGGGTGAGGGTTTAGCCATTGAGCCATTGCACTGGGCCCTGGACCATGGTCTGTGGATGAATCTGACACTGGGCCTGGCTGTCGTCTGAAAGAAGCAGATGGCCAGTATTGGAGCCATCCTGCCATCTGTAGACTGGGTGGAGGGGAAGGGCACCGGGAGTTTTACAGGCACATGGCCCATAGGGGTTGTGCAGTAGCTTCTTCACTCCCCTCCTTAAAGTGTTAGTCCCTGCTGCAGTGCCCTGGGGAGGGCAGGGGAGATGCCTCAGATGGGATTCTGGGCGGGTGTCTCTCCAGTATGTATGATGCTGGGGCAAGGAGAGGTCGGGGACCTAAAACAGGGCAGTAGTGTGCTGGGGAGTCCAGGGCAGGATGCATAGGGACTCCAGAGGGAGCTGCATAGCTGTTCAGGAGAAAGCAGAGGGCACAGAGCCATGCACCTGGTCAGGGTGACGGTGCCCAGATGGAGCCGAGCATTCCAGCTCTGGGTCTGACAGCATGTGTGCAAATACAGGTTCTTCCCCCCCCCCCCCCCCCCCCAGTCTGCGGGAACAGATCCTTCCACCCCTTTCAGGCATACATTCACCCATCCTTTTTTTACACATACGTATACCTCTCCACCCCATCAGAATCTCACCAGAGGAGCACAGAGCAACGTGTGTGGCCAGCACTTGGGCAGTCAGCTTGCTGTTGATCCTGTGCCGAGTCTGGGAGCACCCGGCCTGGACTCCACAGTGCCTGCTACGCTGGGAGAGGGCACCTTGCCTCCGGAGCCCCAGAGTCCAGTGTGGGGAGAGCAGCGAAGCAGCAACCCCTGCTGTCTGTCAGGGACTGGGGAGCTGATGGAGCCCAGGAAGGTTTTCTGAGTGAAACTGCAGCCTTAGCAGACTCAGCTGTGAGAGGGATGTCGGAGGTGAGCAGTGGAGCTGGACCCCAGAGGGCCTGTGGGGGACGTCACCTCCACTCAGCTGCCTAATAGGGCTCACAGTGACATACCTGGCCATCTCAACCTGAGTGAACACAGCCCAGCCCAGCCCTTCAGCAGCTGCTCCCTGACCCTGCCAGGGCGCTGGGCCCTTGGGCGGGACTTCTTTTTAACTTATTTCTCCTTGGTCCTGCTCACCCACCTGAACCCACCAGCTTCTGAGTACAATTGCAGCCTCTGAGGCAGGACCTGTGGCTCCTGGCCAGGGCAGCCCTCAGGGCTCCAGCTTGAGGACTTGACACCAGACACTCCAAGGGTGCCTTGTCCACATTTGGATCTTTGTCTTGGCTGACTCTCCCGCATCTTGCCATTCTTGGGCTGCACAGCAAAGTGCCAAACACAGCTGTAAGCACCTCAGCCATGCAAGACAGAAAGGACCCCAAGGTTTTGCAGAGTTGCTGAGTGCCTGTATTCCTGAGCTGAGGACTAGCACCCCACACAGGTTGAGGAGAGCCCATTCCCCAAGGGAACTGGTGCTTAAGGAAGTGCAGCTCTGGTGTAGACTTGGGGGACCAGATGGCCATGCCACGAGCTGAATTCTGTGGATGTAGAGGGGCAGTTGGTTCTGCCAGGAGGCTGTATCCTGCCTCCATGATTCTGTCCATGACCCTGTCTGGTAGGGCCTGGGCCTGGGCCACACCCCAGCAGACTGTGGGCAGGACAGTGTGCAGCCAGGGCTCAAGTGCAGCATCTGAGCCCCAGGCGGGGACTGAGCTGTGGTGCAGGATGTGGGGAGCAGCTTCTGGGGGCCAGCAGGACAATACACAGGTGTGTGAATGTGTGTGCCTGCCTTTGGGTCTAAAGTCTCTGTGTCCAGGAGCTTCTTGCCTCTGGGGGCTAGGGCTGCTAGGTGCCCCTTTTTGTGCCTGGCTCAGCACAGCAGCCTCAAACAAGCCAGCCTAAAACCTGACCCACAGCTGAATGTGTGACCACCAGCCCAGGGGCAGGGCCTGTCCACCCACTGGTCTTGGGATATCCTCTAGCCAGTTAAACCAAGGATCAGTTTTGTGGTTGGGAGCAAGCTAGAGCCAGTGGCTCAGGGCTGGCGGGGCGGTGGCAAGGTCAGCACAGGCTCAAGGATGCATCCCCCATCCCCCCGGCTATGCTCTGAACCTAGCTTCTCAGCCCCAGAGACCCACCAAGCCTGAGTCCATCTGGGCAGAAAGAGCTGTCAGGCCCCCACACCCGGGCCTGGCACCAGGGCCCTGAATACACACAGAAACACACACCCCACCCCCATCATGGCCTTAGGAGCACTCATAATGCTTGTGCACCTGGCAGTGCCACAGTTCTCTTCTCCCACTGCAGCCACTATTTCCTTGCCACATACTCCAGTATCCAGCCAGGAAAGCATGAGGAGGCCCCTGCTTGCTCACCAGGTGTCTGGGGGTCCCAGTTTCTACCTATCCTGGGCACCCACAGCTGAGACACAGGAACTGGCCCCTACTGGGTTCCCTCTACCCTGCAACCAGGGAGCAGGTGGGAAGGGCCTTGGATCGATTGCTGGGAGATCCCTGAAGTTCTGCCTCCTTTCCCCTTGGCCTGGGACTTAAGTCCCAGGAAGGAACCCCACCCCACCACCTGTCACTTCCAGACCCGCCCATGGCAAGACCAGAACCAGAGCCGAGAGAGGAGTGGGCAGCTGTAGAGCTTCGGGCCAGCACTCCAGCAGGGCCGGTCCCAGAGATAGGGAGGGCTAGAGAAGGAGCCCAGAGCCACCCATGCCCCACCCACATCCCAGGTATGGCCGCATGTGGCTGGAGGTGCTGCTCTCAGTGCCCACTGACCCTGTCTGGTAGGGAGGCAGCTCATGGCCTCTGTCCCCGTGGTACTGAGTGAGAAGCCAGGTCTGGCCAGGGCCCACTGTACAGTCGCCCACTCTCATCATGGGAAGGAGGCAGTGAGTGCTGCCTCTCAGGGCTCCTGCAGAGAGGGGAGGAATGGAACATGAGCTGGGGAGTAGCCTCTGAGTGCAGGGGCCAGGAGAGGCAGACACAGCCTGGT